CTCGAGATCCAGACACACCTTAACTCATATACTCACACTTCCTGGCTGTGCATTTCCTCTTCTGTTAAGTGGGAATAATAGCATGCCTCTCTTGTTGGATTATGTGATATCTGAAGAAGAGCTCAAATGTAAAGGGTTTACTACAACACTCAATGAACAATAGCTGATGTAAATTAGATATTTATATTTTTGAAGGAGCCATGTCAAGTTTCAAGAAGCTATTTTGTTTGGAAAATGTCTGGACTCATGGGAAGAACTATGTAACTGGTCTTTCTGGAGTTTGTGATTTTAAGGCAAGTATTTATATTCATTAGAGGACACTTATGATTTGGGATTTAGATATTCCATGACATTGGGCAATGTTCTTTCCTTTCCACTGCCATATTTATTTGTCAACCTACATTTACATAAGGAGAAGGGATTCCTTAGAGCAAGAAGGATTTGCAGTTTACATTTATTAAACTAGTCAATGATCAGAGTTGTCTCTAAGTGACTATTTGGGGACTAAACATGGCATTACCTTTACTGGGGGCAGGAGAGAATGATTTCCAACTCACATCAGACCAATGCAAAAGATGCCCGTTAGGGAAACCTGTGTGTGTGCACCCTGAAAAAATGTAACCTTGGGCACCAGAGTACCCCAGAGTTAGATAATTTTACTCTCAGCACTTGAGACCTAGCCTAGCACAGAAAGAACCATATTCCCTTCTATTTCAAGAAAGCAGCAATAAGTTGGGACCATCACTGGTAGAATGGGGGGTGGACATAGGCAGTTCCTGTTTTGACATGACTGAGGTCAAACAGTCAAAGAGGAGGCAGCTTGATTTGGAATTTTCTGGAGCTAAGATCAGATATAACATTTATTTAAAAGGGGCGTACTTGCTTTTCTAATCTATCCCAAGACAAATTTCAAAGTCATTCCTCAATAACATTTAATAGACATTGGATACATCTTTTATGAGTCTCTAGTTGCTGTGGTGACATATTAACAATCCTTATCAATTATGCTGGTTGACTTGAGGACCAATAATAGTAATTAACACTCCAGGTGCTGTGCCAGCACTGTCATTAATAAATAATTTCAGCCACTGAGATATCTGGTAATTAGAAGAGAACGGTTTCCAACTTTCCATTTCTTCTTTGACCATGCATGCCTCATAAATGAAATGTTGGAAAAGAATAAAAGCTGAAATCTCTATCTTGGAACAATATTTAGAAACCTCTGGGTAGAACAGACTTAAAAATCAAACTTGATGCCTATCCAAGAATCTTCCTATTGGAATGCATAACAATAGGTCTAGAAGGCTCTCCTTTGCCCTTTATCTATTCCCAGAGTGGTGGATAAGTACTGGTCAGGAATTAAGTAGCAAGTAGAACCAAGTTAAAACTTGTCCTTTATTTTTTTAATTGATCTCACTCTAATACCCACTCAGTAAGCTTTCTCTGAACTTTGAACTAGAAGGTTGGAAGAAACAGAAGCCAAGAAGAACAAAGGATTATGAGAGAAAATAGACAAATATTCTGAATCAGTGATTCCCAAATTTGACTGCACACTGGAATCATCTAGAAAGCGTTGAAAGTACTGATGCCTGAATCCTAGCCTAGAAGATTCTGATTCAATGGTTTTTATAATGCTCCTTGGGGCATGCAACCAAGGTTGAGAAATACTGCTTTAAGTTACTTGTACTAATTCAGAAAAGGGAAAAGTTAATTTGTAGTTTTATCTTCCCTGAAATGACCACTTACAAGACTCCCTAAGAATAGTTTCCCTTAACCCCCCACTGAATATCAGTAAAAGTTATGGAGCTTTTAAACATTCAATGACAAGGCCCCACTGCAGTCAAACTAACTCAGGAACTTAAGCCAGGGTCAAGTGCTACGGCTAAGCACTGCTCTCCAACTATTAGTGCATGGAGAATCACTGGCGAGATTATTAAAACATATACATGCTGGTGATGAAGGATGAAAATAGAGAAACTGGAAAGAAGGCACCCTAAGGCCAGAAACCTGGTTCACACAATGCCAAGGGCTGGGGGTAGGGGGTACAAAGAATTAGCATAGCACTAACCCAGCAGGTAGGAACTAAGGCCGTTAGGCATAATGCCTAGGGCACAAAGCATAGCCCCACGCTGATATCAGGCTGCCCTAAGGGTGTCAGGAGTGCAGACCCAAAAGTGAAGATTAAGCCCATTGTAGAATCGCCAGTCCCCTTCAAATTCTACATAGTTATCAAAACTCAGCAACAAACCTCGGTCACAGAAGTGAGCCCCTCCCAAAGACAAGCCTGTCTCAGGGCAGGCTCCACACTGGCGAGGCAACAGTCCCACCTACCTGTGCCAATGCAGGCGCTCCTTTTTGCCACTCTCTCCCTCTGCAGGGCAGCAGCCTCCTGCCTGCCTGTGATGTGCACCTGCCAGGGCTTCTCTGCACTGACCTCCCTCAGCAGACGCAGCTTCCTCAAGGCTGCTGGCTCGTGACCATGCAGGCCTTTCTCAGCAAGCCTGTCCCTTTCAGAGCGGCTCTTCCTACCCGCTTGTGCCTATGCAAGTGTCCTTTTTACTCCTCTGTCCTTTTCCCTAATAAACCTGCTCTTTAAAATAGAACTAATGCCTCTGTGTTGTGGAGAAAACCCGCCGCCTGTCGCTGAAAGGGGAGTTCTGGTAAAACCTTTCCCAGAGTGGACCCAAGGACCCCGCACTCCCAAATTCATGTCCAAAAACTACATCACTAACACTTACTTCAGAACAAAAGTGCTAAAGATGTGTCTCCTAAATTCACTGAGTAGAGATATTCTCAAATTCAGGCAAGACAGAGCGAGAGACATTTTTGCTCAGGAAAGAACCTGACTACTACTCCATTTTACCAAGTCCTTTTCCCCTGCTCCCTAAGCAAGGGATCTTTTCTACAGTGTTTTCCTAATCTGAGCCACTTCCTGGCATTTTCAGTTTTCATAGCTGCGTATGTAATTTGTGGACCCCTAGGGAAGGCTGGATACTAGGCCATTCATATTAAATGATATGGAATTAGTGACAGTTTATTATGTGGAATTTTCACCACTCAATTGCTATTTTGTTTGTTTGGCACAGTGAGAAATCTGCCAACCATACAAGAGGTCATTCTCCACCTTGATTTTTCAGTTTATCCAACTTTATCAGTGGTGGGGCATTTCAGCCCACACCCCTATCTTCCCAAGGCCCTCCTCTCAGCACCCCCTGAAACCATGAGCCCACCAGAAGCCCTGTAGACTGTCTCAATGTCCCTTTACAGTCTATTTCCAAAATCCACACCTTGATTTCCAAACAACAGGGAAGTAAGTATTCAATGAAAGCTTTGCACTCCACCTAGAGAATACTTTGGGTTTGAAACCACAGACCAATTGAAAATCCTATTTACTTTACACCTCACCCCCAGGGCCCAGTGGGTTTCCGTATAAGTAACTGAGGTTTTGGCCTAGTCCTGGAGGGAGAAACTTCTGCCCATAGGTTAGCCCCTTCCTCCCCTGAAGCATTTATTAAATTCTATAACTGCTCCTCTAGTCTGTTTCATTTTCTGCAGCAGTCTGATTCCTTGGAACTCAGGTCCCCAATAGGCTGCAGGCCCACTGCCTTGGTCGAAGTCACAGAGATCCCCCTCCTCACAGTGTTCGGACACAGGCCACTTAGCAAAACACAGGATGTTTTTTTCAACCTGGGCCACTTCTAAGAAAGGGCTAACCTTCCTAACAAGTATTTATCTTGCTTCACTGCCAATAAAATAAGGTTGGAGAAGCAGTATTTGGCAAACTCTGCTTGGTCCTGTTAGCTTTATTACAAAAGGCCGTCTTCATTTTCAGCCTTACTGAAATCTTAATTTGCTTGGCTGCCCCTTTAGAATGATTGTTCTGGTCTGTCATGGCCAAAGCAAGTAAATTCGAGTGACTCCCAGGCTTGACCCCCTTTCTTAGTCTCTGCTCCATGAAAGCCATGAGCCTCTGCTGTCCTGACTGGCGTGTTTGTCTTGGGCCCTTCTAGTCCCTCGCTGGAGCTGATACAATAGAAAGCATTGCTGGATTTATTGCTTGCACTTGGCTTGGTGAGTACAGTCAGTCACTGCCAACGGAAATATCAGCAGGAGATCGAGACTAGTAAGAGAAGCAAACAAACATAAGTTTACTACTTTCCTACACCAGCAAGCAAATCGGCCAGCTGTGTCCACATATCCGTTACCAGGAGGCTTGAGAGCAAGTTTCTCTTAACTTTTAAGTTCTCAAATCCATATGGTTGGCAGAGTTTCCTGTAGCTTCCTTTGTGAATCAAAACCACTGAAACCTTGTAGAATCAGAAGTGACCCTCTGAATAACCCACACATTTCTCCAACTCAATTTTAGGAGGAATTCATTATAATAAATTCCCTGGTCCTTCTTTTTTCTTTCATCTCAAGGTCTTCTGCCTGATGCTTTATCAGCCTTTAGTTCCTAAGGCCAGCTGCAGTCACTGAAGTTTTTATGTCAGCTTTTCTCCCACTCCTGAACTTTGCTTCACTTGGCTTCATTTTGTTGATACATTTTTTATCTGAGATGGAATGAGAGAAGTAGGAGGGTAAAAACTATTCTCCCGTAACTGTGCCCACTTCTGAACAATGCGCTGGAAAGTTGACCAGCCGAGTTCCTTAGATCTGAAAACAACTTTTATCTTCCAAATAATGAAAAACAGAGCAATATATATAATTCTAAGGGGACTACATTTAGCAAATAATTGTTGGCTTGCCATTTACTTCTTGCCTATAATGAGAAAAACTCCTCCAGCAGGTTTCTCCATCTGAACCTCTCCATATGGAACTTTATTCAAAATGGGGGTGGGGGCTGAGAGTGGTCCAAGGGAGGAGGAGGCACCCCCCATAACACTGGGGGGACTTTACGAAGAAGACATGATGCACTTTCCCTCCTGGTAAGGACCCTACAACATCTTGTCTCATAAACCAAAACACTGCATGACGCTTCAGGATGCAGCTTCCTACTTGTAGAACGTCAGAGCTCTCAGTGTTAGAAATTCTGCCTCTCTCTTGCAAGCGTGGGGGACCACCGCTGAGAAGCCGCGGGGTGTCCATCGAGTTTCTCCCAAGTCTCTGAGGGCTCCCGCATCCTTCCCCAGGAAATGGAAAGAGCAGACGGAGGTGGGTGCCAGAATTTGCCCACTTCGGGGAATATCTAACTCATGCTTCAATCTCTGAGCTGTCCCTTTCCTCCCAACTCTTCAGGACGCAGCTTCCTACTTGTAGAACTTGACGGAGCTCTTAGTGTTAGAAATTCTGCTGCTCACTTGCAAGCATGGACCAACCCTGAGAAGCTGAGGGGTGTCAGTCCTTGCTGAGGTCAAATTTAATTGCTTTCACGTATAGTCTTTATGTGTTGTTGTCAGTGAACTTTCTGTTTAGTGAACTCCGTGTTTTTGAATTTAATGAATTTAATGTTTATTCTTGCACAGTTTTTCGGTTGGGTCTCAGTTGTTGAGAATAGTTTTCATTATTTTCTTTCTTCATGTTTTACATCTGGCTTCAGTGTCTGAGCGGTATTTCAGCTGGTTGTGGGAGGCTCAGGCAACTGGAACATCTTCATTCCATGACTTTCTACCCCACCTTTCTGCTGTTGGGGTGTCTGTCTGCCTTGTTGTTCTTTGAGGTTATCTGTTTTTTCCCTCTTTGCTTATAAAACTCTCTTGTATTTAGAATTATGGGATTTTATGTCTTGATTTGAAGAATACATTTCTTTGTTATTTTCCTTGCAAGAACTCACTATACTTTTTATTGACATCTACCATTGTAATAGTCAGGGTATACAGTGTAACAATTTGATTTATTCCTCTTTTTTTTAACATAAATGTCTTATTCTTTCTCAGTTTTTACCTTTGTAACATTAACTCTCCCTCACCTTCAGCAATCACCAATTAGTCTCTGTATAATTGAACTTGTTTTTGTTTTGTATTTTAGATTCCACATAAGGGAGGGCTCATACAGTATTCTTTCTGTCTTACTTATTTCAGTATTATATTGTTAATAGACTTCAAGTTCCCTCCATATTATTGTAAGTGGCAAGATTTCATGAACAATATTCATGAAAAATATTTTGTACACACGCATCCATTTTCTTTAATTTTTGGTTTCTTTCTTTAAAAAACTTAAGTGAAGCAATAGTGGTTTCTAACATTATGTAAGTTTCATATGTACAATATTATAAATAAATGTTTGTATGTATCAAATCATATTCACCACCAAAAGTCTAGTTTCTACCCTTTACCCTAGAAATGACCCATTTACCTGATTTATCTACAGTTCCCCCACCCCATCTGGTAACCACGATTTCATTCTTACAGCTTATTTTTGTTTTGTTTTGTTTCCTTATATTCCATATTGGTAAAATCACACCTACCTCCATTCTGTTTTCTTCATCTGTCCATTCACTCATCAATGGACACTTAGGTTGTTTCATGTATTGTCTATTATAAATTTGCTATAATGAACATGCTTATATATTTGTGTGCTTTTGTGTTCTTTGCATAAACATTCAGAAATGGAATTACTGGATGATAGGGTAGTTCTATTTTTAGCAAACACCATGCTGTTATCCTTAGTGACTATATCAATTTACATTCCACCCAATGAAGTACACAGGGCTTCATTTCCTCCACATCCTCACCAACACTTTTTATTTCTTATCTTTTCAATAACAGCCATTCTAACAGGCAGTCATGCTGTTTTAGGCTGCTGCAAACACTGAATCGACAAGTCTTAAGTCATTGCTCCTAGGAAAAAACACATGACTAAGATTACTTAAACAGCAGAGGTGCTCCTTTCTGTTTGCTAGAACATTAGCTCTAGAGCCCTGAGTCTGGCTACGCTGAGGCTGCCATGCTCAGAGTAAGCCACACCCTGTTGGGAGGCCATGGGAAAGGGCTTGTTCCCCAGCCTGAGTCCTAACTTCTCATTAGCTTCAGAAACAGACATGTGAGGGAGGGAACCACCAGATGATTTTACTCCCAGTTAATGAGTAGCCCTCAACCTTGGAACCTATCCAGTAGAAGTTCCAGATATTTGGATGAGAGATAAGCAATCTTTTCCTCCTAAGTCCTGATTGAATATATATACCTCACTCACATGATCTACGAGCATAATAAAATGGTTCTTGTTTTAAGCCACTTTTTGGAGTGGGGGTAAGGGGCAGTTTGTTCTACTATAACAGAACAAAGGGTTATTAAATTCACTGATATTGCTAAGCCAGATCATGAGAGAAGGGAACATTGTGTATAGGACATGCATATTTTGAACTTGGAAAGTGCTAGAGACAGGAGAAAGAAACAATTAGTTTTAAAGACTTATTTTGGAAGGAGAATTTGGGTTGAATGAGAGCCCACTTCTGGGTTGAGAAATGGGTGAGTGGCATGCCATTTATCGAGGGGGGGAAGAAAAGGAGAGGACAAACTTATTTTTGAGGGAAGCAAGAGAAATATTTGTATATTTCATGTTTATAGTAGACACAGCCTTTAGATGGAGATGGACAATAGGCATGGGACAAATGATTCCAGACTCAGAACTCAAGTCTGAGATTTGAGATGCTGTTTAATGTCATAGGAATAATCTAGGGAGGAAGGCTAAAAGACAAGAAAGAAATGATAATCCATGAACACCAGTGTTTAGGAGAAGTCTACCCATAGCTAAATGTCAGTCCTGCTAAGACCTGTCTACCTGGCAGAAAGTAAGGGCCAGGTAGAGGGAGCAATCCCGCCACAGACCAAATTTACAACGTTGCGGTATCACTAGTTCAGACACCATAGTCTACGCTGGGATATCATTCATGCCTCTGGTCTGATAGCCATAACCCACTTACCTGCTTATTTGGTTCTTCCGACATCACCCCCAGTCTATTTGCTTAGAATTACTATCTGTTGTAGTACATATACGCAATGGAATATTACTCAGCAACCAAAAAAAATAAACACATGCTTTTGCAGCAACATGGATGGAGCTGGAAAAGATCATACTTAGAGAAATAAGCCAGAAAGTAAAGGAAAAATACCAGATGGTTTCTCTCATAGAAGGAATATAATGGAACAGGCAAGAAAATAATAATAATAATGAACAGCTATATACCAGAGACATTTTATGGGGGTGGAATGAGGAATGGGATCAAAAACAGTGTGGGAGGAAAATGCTCTGGACTATGGTGATGGCACATGGGTGATTTGGCGATGGGAAGCCCACAGGGATTGCAACTGAGATGAAAAAAATGCACAAAATTATGTAAAAATAAACTATTATATTGTTTTTTAAAAAGAATTACTATCTGTTACTTCCTGTTTGACTTGATTTTTTCTTAAGAATCAATAAATCCTTTTATCTGTATGGAGTCTCAAGGCCCAGTTCAACTCCTGGGCCTCTGCTAGGCAGGCTATAAAGAGGAGAACAAGAAACAGACGGGAGACATCGCTCTCTTAAAGCTTTTTTTTTGGAAATAGAACTACTGATGTAAATGATGATGTTTTATCATATTTAAATAAGGACCCAGGAAGCTCCCAAAATATGCCCACTACAGCTAGCCAGTCTGCTTATCCATCTAGTTTTCAGGGATTGGGGCAGTTATTTTCACATGCTCTGCATTCTACATGTTAGGAAAACCACAACTCAGGAGGTAAATGGAAATGAAATCAAATTCTCTCAACAACTGTTTTGTCAACTTTCACCTTAAAAATTTTGTTTTTTTGTGATTGTTGTTGTCCTTGAACTGATCTGGGGACTTTTGGGTGATTAGACTTTTCATTCATCTCTTCCATCACCCACAGGAATGATGTGAGCTGTATGTTTTCTTTTCTGAATTTCATCTCCCTGATGACAGTGTTGCGTGATTAGCCTTTAAGAACAACAGCCTGACAGCTGCTTAGGCATCACCCTTCATCGATCAACTTCATAAATAGTTTCATTGTACTGGGGGAGGGCTGTGGAAGCATAGAGTTTCTCAGGCAAAGACTTTCTGGGAAATTCCCAAGCAGTGAGTTTAGTTGGGTCACTGCTGGCAGTGTGCATGCCGCACAGGGAACTGCACAGATCCGGGGGGTTTGCTGGCTGTGGGGGTCTCTCCACAGGCCAAGGCAGCCCATGGCTTACCCAGAGGTATGGGCCCACGGACACAGCCTTTCTAACGCCTCAGAGGGAAACAGCCCCGTTGAGTCACTTGGGCCCACACGCTGGTCTCCTGGGTCAGCTCTGGGTCTCACTGGCTCATGAGGAGGTCTATGGAAGCAGGATGCGACTGAGCCAGGCCCTGTGTTTGTGTAGCTGCATCCACTTAGGGAGGTAAATGGGGAAATTTTGGGTTTCTGATACACTGAAGTGACACATTATCATCAGCCCAACGGCCTTCTGAGGTATATACAGGCTAGGTCCTTTTCACTTTTTAAATATCTTCTTTCCTATAACTTCTATTCATGACTCGGGTGTAAGGCAGTACAAAGGTGGGCAAGAGGGGGCTGGAATGCCCTTCTCTCTTCTCTTCCCTTCTTCCCTCCTTTCCTTCAGATATTTATGAAGCTCCCACTATGTGCCAAGGATATAGCACAAAGTCTCTCCTCTCATGGATCTCTTCAGGTGAGTACTCTAATTTTCTTGAAAATTGGTAATAACTTGTCATTCTTTATCAGAAAAAAAAAATCCTCAGGATGTATTTAACATAACGTTCATTCATATACTTAAAATTGTAGAAATACATCTATAAGTGATTCCAAAATTTATTTGACTTTTATATGTTAATTTTAACAAATTCTAAAATATGCCATACTATGCACAAATATAACCATTAAGTGTATCAAGGGTTAAAAAAAAAAAAGTGCCAGGAAGGAAATTAGAGTAGGATAATTGTACAACAGGCCAAGAAGGGCCTGTCTGTCAAGATGGCGTTGGATTCAAGCGTGGAAGGGAAGAGCCGGGTAAGATGCAACCAACAAAGGCCTCAGCTATTTGAGAATCAGTGAGGAGGCCTGTGTGACCACAGTGGTCAGGCAGAGACGGGGGTGGGGAGGGATGAAGTTAGAGGTAACCAGATCATGTGGTAACACAGGCTGCATCTAATTTAGCTTCAGGAACTTGCCTTCCCAAAGTAAATGTCCTTACTGACTCCTTCAGTATTGAAGAAACACCAAAAATAAAGCCAACGAATCTGAAGTGTCCTTTCAAAGTCTGGAGAGAAATGCTTTCCATCCCACCACAGATATGTCTCACAGCCTGCTTCCCCACCTCTCCCTGAAAGTTGTTGTGCTGCTGAGGATGTGTGGGTGACAGAAGAAGGGGGACTTCCTGCAGCAGAAACAAGAAAACATCCCACTGTGGTCTCAGGCAAGGGCCTCCTCCCAACCAGAGGATATCTCCAGGGAGGGCTACAAGGTGGCAGGAAGTGGGTGACACGCAGGCTGGCCCGGGCCCAGCTGTCCTGCCTTCCTCGTGAGGGGCTCATTCCTAACGGCTCAACTCTCTCTGCTGTCACCTAGTTATTCTTCCTGAAAGCAGGATTCTGTGCATCTTCAAGATGAGCTCACAGATTTTTGATGAACTCCTTGCTTCTACTTGTTCTCTGGAACTATATTACTTAGCACTTGAAAGGGCCAGGAAAGAGATAAAGACTGCAGGCAGACCACAGACCAGAGGCAGCCAGCAGGGAAGGAGGGGGGTCAAAGCAGAAAGGGCAGAGCACAGCGGGTGTCAGACATCGTGATGGTCATGGGTGCTGTGGTGTTGGGAAAATGAAGGAAAATGCGCGGAGGGGGGAAATCAAATGTTGCACAAAAATAAACAAGGATGTAAGAAAACGAAAACCAATGAGCTCACAGATTTTTGGTGAACAATTGGTTTTCATTTGTTCTCTGGAACTCTTTTACCTTATTTCTTTGATGTTGAATCACCAAAAACTTTGCAGCTAAATCTGAATGTTGAAAGAAATGATTGACCATTTTGTTTTTCCAAATTAACTGAGAACTGGAGAAGCCAG